CAATTTGCTGCTTCATTCTTTCAGGAAGTTTCTTTCGTGTGCTATTTCAGACAGCTATGAATGCAAGGTGAGCCTCGGTGTCAAAGGTATGAGAAATAAAGGAGAGACATTGTTAAATACAGGTATTAGGAATTCTTTGAAAATTTAAAATGTGTAATTAAAAAAAGTCATAAAATAGGGAGGTGCAGTTTGGACTATTTAAAGCAGGGATTTGAAAATTATTGTAATAGAAAAATGGAGCATTTTGTGATAGCAGAGGAACTTGTTTAAGGATTTTATATATTTGTACTAAAGATGTAAATAGCTTTAAATGCAAGAATTATATATAACATTTAAATTCCTCTGGTATTTTTAAGTTCTGACTCTCCATCCATCTATCCCGTGCCACCGTAGAACATAAAATAGTTTGACTTGTGTGTGTACATCTTCATCTTATCTCCTGAATGAAATCACAGTTTACTTCATTACAGAAAGTAGAGCCACAAATAACATTGCAGGAGTCCCATAACCTGCTTTCTCTGAAATGAACTGTGTAGTATCCTTTGATTTTTTTGTTGCCAATAAAAGTTGGATCTTCGGTTTTTAGGTATCAGTGTTAGGCTCCTTTTTTTTAATTCCAAGTGGCTGAACATTGCTTTGTACTTTGCCTGCGCAGTAAATTGTGGCTTTGGACAGGCATTATACATGTTATTGTTTTAAGAAATTTTTCATAGGTTTATGAATTTCTTCAGTGATTTCATATGCAGTATGATTGAAGAGTAATTTATTTGGTTTGCTTAGTATGTTTTATTGGATTTTTTTTACATACAGCTAAGCTCCTGTAAAAAAGATCAGTAAATGGAAAGAATTGTTTCTGTGAGTTCAGTGAAATTAAAGAGTGGTAAGTAGAGAAAGAAATATCAGAAGTTGATGTGCAAGCGTAACTATATATGTCTTTCCATTTTTTGGGCACAGTTTAACAACTGTTATGGAATTGTAAAAGCAAGTTTTCCAAACTTTTACGAATGATTCCACCAGTGCGTCCATGACAGCTGAGCACAGGGTATCAAAGTGAAGACACTGAAACAGAAGACCAGCAGAATATTTAACACATCATCAGAAGTTTAATTTTTGTTTCCAGAATGGAAGAATACAAAGACTTTAATAAGGCTATACATTGTACTGACTTACATTATAGCAGTTATATGTAGATGAAGAATAGAGGTTAGAATGTGGATGTGATTTTGAAATGACTTATGTGAGTTTAGATGTTTGTTGAATGGAATGGTTGAGTTTGTCCCAAGTTACATGTTCAACTGATGACTAGTCTAATTGCCGAAGCCTTTGCTCTGACATTGATTCCTTGGCTAATATCAGCAATTCTGTAACATTGTCCACATATTTGGTATTGTATCTGTGTCATGGGCCTTTCTGTATCTGATAGTTGATACAAATTGGAAAGCTGCACTGGCCGTGTTTGCTAATTGTATCTTTAATGCTAACTAGCCTCTGATGTTTGGTTGTTCCTTACTGAATCCTTATTCTGAACCACAGTATATTTGTGTCTGCCTGCCTAGTTTTCCAGACTTATGTAAGCCTTTCAGTTATATCATCTTCATGCTAGTAGTCTGCTTTGCGACATTTATATACATTTATTCTTCATAATCACAGCAATTTGCCAATGGTGAATTAGTGCTTTAGGATGTAATATGGTGGTTCTCTGATTGCTGTATTGTTTTCATTGTTCATTTAACATCTACTTCAGGGAAAACAATGTGTCCCGAATTGAAATTGAATCTACTCCTTCAAGGGATTCTAAAATATCTAAATATTGAATTTTTATATTTTTTTGTGGATGTTGTGCTGCAGGTTGATAAAAATGCAAGGTGCAGAAGCTTATTTCTGTAACGTTCTGTCACAAGGTGACACAAATTCCTATTCATCTCAGCTGCTAGCTCAGGACTTACCAGCTGCTCATTAAAGTATTTTTTCTTCTGCTGCTGTAAGTTCAATCATCGTAACCCTGATACTGCTTCTGTGCATAAAAATTAGTACAATGTTTCAGTCCTACTTCATAAGCGATTGCTGCAGTAAATGCAGGAATAATGTGCGCTATAAGAAACGGATCATGAAGTTAATTTTTTCTCAGTTGTAAATATGGAGATTATTGCTGTTTTGTGAATTGAGTTCTTTGGGCGGTTGCAGCACTTTTCCAGTGTAATTTGGTTTGATTTAATATAGGATCTCTGTATAGTCTCCCCCCCAATAAAAGTATTTTATGGTAGTTATCAGATTATTACCCATTTTACATTTCCAAAAGTAGATTTATTTTAAGCGTAGGCATTCAAGTATGCAGCCTGTAACAAATACATGCATATTTTATGCATACGTTTGTGTTAAATTTTAGCATCTGATGGTGTTGCCTCAGAAGCACTACTCTGTATGAAGATGTACATAACATAAAATATTAATGTTATTGAAATGATGAAGATTATTTAAAACTTTTGTCTTATCAGTATTTATTAGTGTACTTATGGCTTCATGTAAATACGCTTTTTCGGTTTTTATCAGAACTTAGATTTACAGTTTGTTTAAATGTTTGTGTATTGTAGACACCAAATTCCTTATACTTTTTTTGTCCATGGTTTAATTAATATGGATAATGCAGCTGATGGGCATTCGTGGGTTGGTTTAAAACACATGACAGATTGATACATATGTTGATAAGAAATGGTAAAACACTTTGAATTCCTTTCTAAAAATTATTTAATTGTTGGTACTTTTAAAACTGGATTAACTGTTTCCATAAAGTGGAAGGATGTTAATACAGATATTTATCTCTCATGAATAAGCAACACTTACTTTATTCTGAATTGTTTGTTTTTAAGCTCATAATCATTTCACTTTGTGACTCAAAATTGTATGAACTTGGGACAAGAACTTTCTCAACCTTTCACAAACAACACATTTCCTAGAATTATAGAAGTTTGACAACATACCCCAGTTGTGTGGTTTCTGTGCACATGTAATTGGTCAGGGATGGCAAACATTTTCACTGCTTTGCACAAGATTGCATCAGACCTTCCTTAACAATAAGAAGTGGTGCCAGCAATCCTCATTGCTCTGTTACCGTTCTGATGAACTTAATGAGATGTCTGCTGTTGCTCATTTAGAGACATTCCTTCAGTTCTTGGGTTATGTATCATTATTTTGAGAACACAAATTTGTTTGTAAGGAACTTAAAAATATATTAAAATTAGCCGTCATATCTTATAAGGAACTTAAATATGATTTGAATATATTTAACACATGAGATAAGTGAAAATGAGCTGTGTTGAAAATAAAATTCAACATTGTGTTATGTTGTAGCTGTTTTTCTTTGGGTAACCGTACTTGGTATTTGGGTTGGAAACATGAAGTAACAGCAAAAATTGATCTTAGACACATGTACACAAACAAGAAAAATGCTAGGTTATTGGTATTAACAGAACCTGCACTTACCAGTGCCAATTCATGTCAGTGGTTTGCCATCCCTGTGATAGTGTTTCAACCAAAACCAGTGTGTAGAGTATGTATGAGATACATAATTAACCCGAGTTCAGTATAGGTGTTTTTTCTCTTTTGCTAATCAACTGTCTCCCACATGTGTTTCCATACAAATACATTGGCTGGTGTCTCATTCTTGCAGGTTTATGTAAACCGTGCAATGTAACTATTAAATAAACACTGTTTTACTGATCACTAGGCTACATGAAAATTTTTTTGGTTGTTGATGATCATTCCAAGCATCTTGTTTACCTACTTGTATCATGACTCACCATTGTGCTGTGATCTTCAAGTAATCTTACTCGAGTTACTGTGAATTGCTGTACCCAAGTAAGATCTATGTTTATTTCAAACCAGTCAATACCTTTAAAATCAGCTGTCGTCTGTGTTGTAACAACATGTAGTCTGGTAAAAGTTTGCCGGTGTTTTCAAAGGTATGTGCTGCCTTCGTCATCAGGGCAGTGATGGAGGCAGCAGTCTGTTACATTGAGGATATCGGTTTTCATATTTTGCTTGTAGACTATTCTCTGCCTGCATTTAATTTCTCTCTTTCCGTATCTCTCTACCTTTCTTTACTTCTTTCTTTGTTTCCTTCTACTATCCTTCTTTATATTTTATAGTTTCTGAAATGATGACAGTGAGTGAGATTGTACCTTTGCCATCTCATTTTCATTCATTTATTTGAGTTGAAGTTGAATGAAATGTTTTCACATCATTGCATTTATTAGTTTTTATTGTTTTATAAACAGATATATTTGTGAAAATGGTTTTGTGTAGCCAGGACAGAGAATTTTTATTTTTAGAGTTTCAGAAATATATATATATTTGTAAATTGATGTAGTTGAGAATATGATTGTTTCTTTACTAAGTTTGTTATGGACTCAATTTGGTTAATTTTTATTGTGAAAATAAGGCATGGTTTTATTGGCAATATTAGACAAATGCTGATACATCAGTATAACCTGGTTATAACATTCTTTGATAGACTTTTCTGTTCTTATACTTTAAAGGACGAGTGTCTTATGAAACTTTGGATGATTTATCACAATGCGTAAAACCTCACGAATATTGTGTGTATACATGCATATACATTCAATATAAGAACACGTGAAAATGCTTCTATCATGCAGTTGAGTATCTGCTTAGATTTATGTGCAATTATGGCATTATATATTTGTAAAAATTGCATTTAATTTCTACAAGGATGCAGACAAAATGAGATAATTATTAGTATTTTCCAGAATATGCATACATGTGCACAATCTAAAAGTAACTGCGTTAATTTATCAGTAGCATTAATTTCCATTATTTCTATTGGCATGCACCATTTGATGTGTGTATTATTATTCTGAACCAACATTTTCTTAAACTTTTATCCTAAGTTTATATTTAAAATGGTTTGAAAAGCTAAAAACTTAGATCTTTTTCATGTGCAGTTTTGGCTATTTGTTATATTTATATAGTGAATCAATTCCACATTCATGCTTCATGCTTCTTAAAAAGTGAGTGTCAAGATTAATCAGTAAAACTTTTTCATTTGAAGTAGGCATACGTAAGACATAAGTAAACTTACACCAGACTACATAAGAAATTGTAGGTCCAGGATGTATGTATTATAAAGTCATATTTTTGTAAGCCTAGAGACTTGATTATTTGAAAATGTGGTTTATATTATCCCTAGTATTTTGATAAAATGTTTACATCTAAATTATCCCCTCCCCCGGATTTGACCAAAATTACATTTACATTCCTCCATTGTAGATACAAAGATTTTAATGTATGCACGCACAAATATTGCAGTGTGCTCAGTCACATTTTTACATTTATTTATGTCTGCTTTACGTATTGCAAAGCCAGGTGTCATTTTGTTCCTTTCTTGGATGAAGTGTAAGATTATGTATTTTAGTGTCATGCACTTATAACCTAAAATTTGTTTTAAGGTGCTCCCAAATGTTATAGGTAACATTCAGTCATATAAATGTCTGAAATTTGTTTGTGCATGGTGTGTGAATCATTTACTCAAATGAAGAAAATGACCTCTTTTTTTAATGACTGAGAATTACTGAATTTTAGGTTTATGTGTTTTTTATCCCTACGATCTGAATAGCTTTAAGCACAGAATTATATATATTCACATTTATTATTAATTGAATTACTAGTACATACATGATAGAAACAGACACAAGAACAGTTATATAACACATTAAATATATCTTTAAAGGGTTTATTTTATTTTATTTATCTTTCTCTTCTGAAGAGTTCTTCATTTTCTCGTACTGTTGAATAATGTTATAAGAAGGTTAAGCAGGGGTACAGCATTTTTTAATAAATGAAAGGACGCTCAGTATTTATAAGATGCATTTAGCTACATTTATTGAACATTGCTTATTGCTGTATTCTTTTATTTATAGTTCCTATTCACAGCTGATGTAAGGTTGAAATATGCTGTAACCTTCTTTTTTCTCTGCATACTGCTGGGTTTTGATATGTTCCAGTAGTGTCAGTGTTTGTCACTTGTGCCAGCTCTTATCACAAAAGTGATGTGGAGATCCTCATGTCAGAAAATTATTATGAGTATTAGAACATGTCAGTCGTAAATTACTGCATAACTTTTTGATTGTAGGAGAGTAGGATCATATCATAAATATCACAGATATGTATGTCATGAATTAATGGTTCTGCCCCCAGAAAGGTAGAATCAGTTGATAATATTTTGTAACTTGTGATTACCTCATTGTTTAATGTGGACAATGATAAAAATTGTTGGCATGTTGGTTAATGTTTCAGTCATATAGTATATGAATGTATTCTGTGTAATACTGATGTTTAGCCCTTTTACTGATTCTGTAAACTATCACTCTGCACAAAAATCTACTTAAGTTAGTAATTGGAAACAGGGTAACATGGGAGCAAAGTCACATGAATATCATGGTACTTACATATTCATTTTCATGCGATGTGCAATCCTTACCCTAGTTAGCATAGCTTTTTCTTTATGGGGGGGACATTGTTTACAACATAAACTTTGGTACATTTATATGAAATGGTTCATGTACCCACAGTTGGCATTTTTATTAGTGTGTACCATTTATTGAAAACTAGCATTTAAGTAGTTCTTGTATGCTGAAGGTTTAATAGTTGAGTAACCCATTGTACATTTGATGAGTTTGAAAATTGTTTCTTTTATGGCAGTATTTTAAATTGAAATCTAGTGAGTACATTCTGTGGACTGTTTACTATTTTGAAGTGTACTTCATGAAAAGTAATACATATATAATACAGGTGTGTAAGTAGAAAATAAACACCCAAATATAGTTTATCAAGCCTTTACCATACAAAGATTATTTAAATACTTTAATATTGAGTGCAGTAAAGGAAGATGTTTGTACAAATATAAAATGTTGGCTGTACCATAAAATTAAAATATGGCAGCCTTCATCTGTCATACCAGCTGAAGTAAATATGGTTTTGTTTGGATTGTTGGCTTATGTTGTAAAGTAAATGTTTTGTGTGACCAAGAGTCAAATTTAAAAAAAAATCTCTTAAAGAAGTATCTTCATCCATTTGCTAGATTGTCATATCATTATTAAAACAAGTTGTTAATTGTGTGAAATATAGTAGGTCCAATAAATCAGTACCACTGTTTGCTCACAACCTTCGATATATTTATGCTGCCTCCATGTCTAAGGCGACGGTAAAATTGGGAACATAACCTTTTTATATTGTGCTGGAGGCTGCACACAAATGTGATTGAAATTGATAAACAGTAGGCCCTTTCTATATGCTGCTATCAGTTTGTTATAACAAATGAAATTTTTATATAAAAAGTTATTAACAGTGGATCATTTAAATAAATGGTCATGCAGGATGATAGTAAATAGTAAATTCTGAAGCATATCTGAAAGAAAATTATATTCTGAATATACTTTACTACTTAAGAGAATTTATTATATTTGTAAAAGTCTATCTTTGGAAAAAGTAATAGGTAGGAATCTAGGAAGATTATGTAGGTGTTTCCGTTGCTGTAGTCGCTTGAAAAGTAAAGTCAAATGAATCAGAACCAGTTTTGAAGACCATTTCTGAAGTTAGTTTGTTGGGGAAGGGGCGTGGCATCACGTGCCCCTCCTGGAGCATTTGATCTTTTAAAGAGGTCTATTTTTAGAGCTGTGCTCTGTTGTACTAGCAGTGGTAATGAATTGCAGGAAACATTTGTTTTAAAACAGTAAAACTGTTAATGAACATTTAAATGTACCGTTCATGAAGTAGGAATTATCATAGCAAGTGTAATTAATATATTCCCTCTTATGTATCTGTCAGTCTGAATGTACCAGTTGTGATCTCATCCTGTCTTTATTATTTTTAATAATCTATTGCCTTTTTAAAATGGCATTATTTTCATATCATTTGAATTAATATGGACTTGGACTGTATGAGAGAAAGAAATGGATATATATACGCAGAACGAATGTGTGGTTGATCTATTTTGGTGAAGAACCAAAAAGATTTTTTGTCCCTCATTCGTATTTTTTGTCTCTAGATTTAGTTACAGGTGTGAATCCAGAAAGAAAAATATAAAATAATAAGAAATTTAATTTTTTTGGTTATGAATTTTATTTGGCCTATTATTATAGAATGGAATGCAGTAGAATTCAGTTCTTCCCAGTAGAAGGTCTCATAAACATGCCAGTGAAATGGAGTTGTAGAATGTCAGCCAGTGCACTTCTGTAGGAAGCAGAGAACAGACTAGGCAATTATTAGATATATTTTATGTTTTGGTTATTTTAAACAGACACTTCATTGTTGGTGAATGGAGTAATATGTCGGACAGTCTTGTGAGGTTGCATTCTGACAAACCTTCAGTTCAGGTTTCAGAGGCAGTTTTAAGATTTAAAGACTGTTATACAGAATTTTGTTCCCATTTGTGGTCAAGGGCAGCAGAATATTTTGAAAGATAGTCTAGCCTCTTTAATTAACATTCAAGCCTATTTATGGAAACTATTCAAACAGAAATTTAAATGTTAAGTTTAGACACTGGAGTGGATGGGATGGAGGGTTTCTGAGTTGCATTTTAGTGTGAACAGTTACAGGGATCAAGATTTTAATAATTTATAGCAGTCTTGACACTTGGAGGATATCTGTTATATCCTGAGCATGTTGAATCCATTTAATCATCATCATGATACCAACTACAAAATTAATGCATTCTTAATGTCCCCCATGAGTAAATAATTCACATTATGAAGCTCCTTAGGTTTTTTAAAGCTTCACTTTGAAGTTCAGTTCTGTTTTTCAGCATTTATTCTCAAATGTCCTGAATCTGAATTCTTTTTCTACATCAGATGCAGAACTATTAAGTCATTTATAGAATTTAATTTGTTCTTAATTTCATCATTAATATAATTTTGATTTGTTGTTTTTGTTTGTCACCTTTAAAATATTTTTGCCATGAATATAATTCAATTTTTTCTTACTATTGTCAGATTTTCAAAAGATTAGTTAGCTGTTATGTCCTGTATTCTTGTGAGGAGATATGAATATTTACTTTGTGTTTATACCACTGTTCTGTGATAGTTTCTTTGTTCTTAGTAGTATTTGTTCATTATTTCCTTTGTTTTGGAATTTTACTCATGTGATATAAATCAATGTTAACTGAAATCTTTCCTTATTTGCTTGTCAGATAAGTGTCTGGAATTGATCTTCACCCCATATAATCATGGTATTTAATTTGGCTGTTGCTTTGTATGTTAAAACTGAGAGTAGTAAAAGAACATTGGTAACCGGTTTTCATACTGTCTGCTGTTTGATTCGTACAGAAGTAGTATACTGGTTGAGAGATGATAATACATTTTTTCTTCACTTCTGCTCAGTTCTTATTCTGGTAGATGCTGAATCTTTTTATATCTGTGTTATATTTTTTTTATAGGAGTAAGTAGTTGTTCTGTGTTACTCTCATAAACATATGTTTATTTTGATGTATCTGATTGAAAGCAGAGCAAGCTATTGTATACATTCAACTTTGTGATCTTCCTGCCATCTATTTTGTTAGGATTGTCACGAAGGTTTATTATCTTATATGCCAGAACTTGTTTTGAGGTTGTACATACACACGTTTTATGTTCCTGTATTGAATAAAAGCCCACAGAGCAGTCTTCTTATTAACCCATGCATTAGTGGATATCAATTTGTTTCTGACTGTATTACAACTTGGTTTAATCTTATAAACATTTTTTTTTATTATTCCTTAAATTTTACCTTGTCCACTGTTTTGTTAAGTTACTTGTATTCAGTATCAATTCCTGCCAAGTTTGAACACAGTATTATCCTTTAACAAATTTATCTGTCTTTGTATTTCCTTCTGCTATAATTTACATGTATTGTTAATACATTTTAACCAGAAAGGTAATAATTACCGTGGAAGGTATTCAAAACATCAACACTTCTACATATACCTAGGGGATTTGTGTTGGAGTGACGGGACAGATTGTTAATAATGAAATAGGCGAGGAATTTCATTCTATACAATAAATTTATTTAAATGAACTGAGAAATGGTGTTGGAAGCACCGAGTGTTGAGAGTAACACATTGATTTGTTAGATTCACATTTTAACATTGTTGCTTCATGTACATGTGTCAATAAAGCATATCTTCTCCACAGCATGTAGTTACAAATATTTGATTTTCTGATTACCTGTCATGTTGTAAATGAAAGATAACTCCTGAAAGAAGCAAGGGGTTGGGAAATAATAAATGTACATACATATTTTCAATAAGTTACATTTTATAAACACCATTTCATTTAATAACATTTGGGTTTGAGATTATAACTTGGTATTAATTTTAAGAACTCCGGTACCATTTTTGTAAATGCTATGTGTTTAAGAAGTATTCTGCAAAAATTTATTGGAATGCAACATTTTCTGCATGTTGACAATATAATGCTGTGTTGGGTATTTTGAATTTTATGTCAGTTCAGAATCATTTTTGGGGGTGTGATCAAAATAGACAACCTTAAAATGGAATTGAGGTTTTCATGGCAGTGAAGATGTTGGTTGTGGTCGTGAGCATTGTGACTCTTTATAGCCCTGGTTATAAGGTAATAGTATCTCTGAAATGTTGGGAGCCACCTTCAAAACTAGTATATGGCATAACAAGTCAGAAGACCACAATTTACAACCAATTTTCTGTTGAAATCTGAACATGCAATATTGTGTCTGTGATTTAATGTTGTCTTGCATTAATTTATTAATCCAATTATATGTCTTAGAAGAACTAAGTATATACCATCTAAAGATAAGTTGTATTATTTAATATACCTTTCACAATCTAATTTTTGTATGAGCATCTATTTCTAGCATTTAATGCAGAAATCTGCTCATTTATGTAGGCAGATGTTTAAAATGTTGATTAAAGTAGGTTATCTGTCGGTAAAATGTGATTTCCTTGTCATGAGATGAAAAGAACTTTATTTGTTTAGCTATTAATTTGAGAGGGTGAAACTGAAAACTGTGCTTGTCAATTCATTCTGAATCTGCAGTAATATTTTAACATTTTCCTTCTTCGTGTAATGAAGTTTGTTTTTAAATCATACATCATAGTCAACAGATACTTCTTTGATTATAACTAAAATCTTCAGTCTGCCATTGATTAACTTCTAAGACGTCTCTTCATTGTAAGGGTTTGTATTGAACCACTGTACATGAGATATTAAGACCTGGCAACATGTAATTCTTGCTAAAAGTGAATCTGAAGTTCATGTGGTATATTTTTTGCTCTTTACTGTGCTGTAAATTTTGTGAAAAGACTTTCTGTTCTAAACATTATATTTAATTTATACAGACATTTGATGAAGGTTTTTAAATAATACATAAGGAATTTATTACTTCACTCCATTAATTTGTAATTGTCTTGTCTGTATAGTATTTAATACAAATAATAAAAGAGCAAGAAATAAATATGAATATTTGGAAAGAATATCTAGAAATTAAATCTCAAAGCTGCTCTGTTAATACAAGCTGAAAGGACATGCGATGAAAAGATGGTAGGAATAGTTTTCATTTTTGTAACTGCAAATGGCAAAACAAGAAATCCATGGTCTTAATATTGGTGTTTTTAAATATGAATTATGACTCACTTCTACAGTGGTAGGTTGGTGTCTTTTAGAAATGTTGCATTATATTTATTTGATATTAAATTTTGCATTTCATGCACAAGTTGTAAGTGCTCTATTGTAGCAACAAAAAAAGATACCAGCTGTGAATAAAAAGTATTTGTTAATGGCAGTGATGTATGTGTACTAACAAATTTCATGTCTTCTAACAAATATCTGGCATGAAAGTGTAACTATATTCTTATTACCTAAGAACGGAGAGATTCCTTGTCCTATTCTGAATGGAATTAGAGGTCAGTGTAGTGAAGAATGCAGACGAGGGATTATGCCCGAGGATAGAGAGAGAGACAGGCACGTCGCACATGTCAGACAATGTCACCAACCCACTTGGAGTCAACAAGAGGAATGATTGGCTCATATTTATCAAAATCTTTATTTTTAAAATTGAAGCAGTGTTCAATGTCTTTTAAATTGGGAAAGAATTTGGTTAAATTTTGAAATAACCGAGTGACAGAAGATGAGCGAAGTTTTCTTTCTATCCTTGGCTTAGCATTCAGCTGCTTCATTCCCTCTGTTGACCCAAGATATGCATGTTTTGGCAGTTCCAACATGGCTGTCAGGGCTACCAGTGCAGTTATCACAAGATCATGATAGGGTGTGGTTGAAATTTTAGACTTTTAATACGTTCAGGAGAGAGTATGCTGAGACATCTGCATTATAACTCCTCTGTAGCAAGATCTTCATACAAAGAAATTCTGAGTCCCAGTGAGGCGTTAATTTCTATATAAACAGCCACATAACAGTGTTAATTAAATGTTATGTGGGAATTTTCTTTATATTGTACTGCACAGCTGTGTGCAATATTTGCAAATTTCAGTACCCAATTTATGATCTTGTGTGATCAGATCCTCGATAAAGGTTTGAGATTATTGTGTTTGAGTATCTGTATTGGTTGCCCTGAACAGTTGTTGAATAAATGCACATGGGTTGGTGCAATGATTGACATGTCAGTGGATCTGTCTGTCTGCAGCTGTTACCATGGGGCTGGTGGAGTTGGAGTTGGTGGCCTAGAGATGGACTACTCGTGCGTAGATTTTATGGGCAATGTTGAATTACCACCTCTTGATGAAGATCCGATTGATCTCAATGGCTTCAGCAGTTTTTCTGACTTCATGCAGTCGTATAAACAGCAATGAAGAGTTGTATAAACGTGTAAGGTAGGATGGTAAAATAGACGAATTAGTATGGTAAGTTGGCTGACGTGAAACTGGCCTTAGCACTGCACCCACCTTTACCTCTGAAAACTTTTCCGAATGTTGTAAGATACTATTTTATATCACAATTAACGAATAGAATCAGTAATTTAAAAAAGCAAAATTGTGTTTAACAGTATGGAATTTTATATTAAAGACTATCCAAGATGAAAATTATTGAAGGCAGGCTTTTAATCTATATTATACAAAGTAATGTTTATATCCAAATTAATTTGTTGTTCAAGCCTCTTTTTCTCCCATGTCAGAAGACCATTGCTCTAGATGGTAATTTTGTGTGTTCTCATAAATTTTTAAAATGGTTGTGAAGTTTTATTCTTCCTCGCACGCATGGCATAGAGCTAAATTGCACATTAATAGGTATATTCCCTCTCACAGAAATACATTTTTTGTACATCTAAAGTTGTATTATGCAAAGGCTAATAGAATTTTTTTTAAAATTATTTTGAGACTGAAAATATGTGTATCCATTTTGAAAATTAATACTCGAGGTAGATCTAGAACTGTGATTTCTAAAGATTTGTGTAAATAAAATAAGTTTACACAGTATAAAGTAATTTAATGTTGGTAGTTACATAACAACGAATGCTGGTTATCAGGGTTCAAATAGGACATCATTTCAGTAGCTGGAATGATATTCAGAATGCCACTAATTTAAATAAATAGTCTATTTAATGGTTAGTAAGTTACATGTTTACAAAAATCTGTAAGAGGTATAACAATATACTGCATCCTTCTAAACCCATTTTTCTGATGCTACTGTTTGCTTATTTACACACATGTATTTGAAGATATCATGTAGACTATATTGTGTGTGAGAGATTATTTCCTTGATCGTACTTCCAAAGTTATTGGTATTTTTAAACCATAATGAATGCTTTGAATTGGCATGAAAAATTGACATTTTGTATTTCTTGACAGCTTAGCTTTTAAACACACATAATATTGCAGACCTTTTGTAAAATAATGTGCAGTGTCTGAATGCAATTGAAACCGTTTTTATATCGCATCATTTGCAGAACTAGAAATTAAATTTTTTTTGGGAAGTGTCGAGTTTTCTCATAACTGACAATTTGCCTAAATCTGTATCCTAGATCTGTATTTGATATGATGAATATTTCTTGTAATGTAGTTAATGGAAAAGTTTGATGCCTAATTTGCTCCATCTTGTCTACATTGTTATGTAAATTGTTATGATAGATTTTGGTATGTATGTTGTGTACAAAACTTTCTTTTATTCCGCATTGTGTCACAGTGAACAATGTCTTGGTTGTAGTGCATGTGCTTAATACTGCAAAGTTATTGAAGGGCTTATTAAAGATGATGGATAAGGGTTCAGATACAGGTTGATGTTATGCAGCATTAGAAGACAGCTGTAGGGAACTGGAATGCCATCTAATAGTGTTATTCCTCTGAAGGAATAGAAAGTTGTGGAGAAAGTACGTTGCTTCCCATAGTTTGGATACAACTCTTGTAATGAACTTACTGTGGTATGCTGATGACATTCTTTTGTACCACTTTATGGCTGGGTAAGAGGTGTTCAGTGAGAAATATGTAGAGCATTGGTTACTGATTGACATATAAATATAGGTCCTCAAAAATAGTTTGGGGTTTTATTAAAAATGTCAAATTTTTCAGTAGTGACCATGCTGAATGTGCTATATTTCAAGAGATGATAAAATGATCGAAGTATCACTCAACCAATAGGTGTGTGCACTTTACCATAATCTGTTTAAGGGTAATACTAACTTTAATTTTTAAACTTGTTATGATTTACTGCATGTGGGTGGTACAGGACTTTAAGACTGTGAAGTATCTGTAAATGATATTTCAAATAATTTGCATAATGATGGTATGAGATTTGTTTCTCCAAAATATACTTCTGTTGGAATAGTAAATTTGTAGTGTTTTTGGAAGGCAGATATACTGAATTTTTGGAGCCATTTTGCCTAAGTGCTGTGTTTGAATATACAGCTTGTTTTTAATTTGAAGCACACAATTTCTTGTCACTTCCTCCTTTCATGCTGTAGTGTTTTGTATGAAACGAACGAGCAGTGAGAAATTTTTCTCAGGGTTCTTTTACTTCTCCTTTAATTAAATGTGTTATTATCAGGAATATCATGTATAAGCAGTAGTTAATATATTGCCATAGGTAACAGTAATTTCACATTCACTGGAAAATTAAAATGCAGAACTGGATAAATGATACTATCAAAAGTCATATTATGCTACTCGACTTTTGTGGAAGTCTCAGTGTCCGTTTATTCTTATATGTC